TTAAGGCTGGTAATCTTCCTGAACGTGGTAAGTTTTCACTTTTCTGGTTCGTTATATTTTTTAGAAAGTGGCGTACCGTTATAGGATCGCGTCCGAGTATTTTTGCGATTTGAGCAGCATTTGCGGTGTCCATGTACGCCAAAATCTTCCCCTTTTCAATTTCGTTAAGCTGTGTATAGGTGGTCACCTTTTTTTAACCTAACGAAATTATAGTGTTGACGAAGTGGCAAAAAAGGGAGAAAACTTGATAAATGTATTTTTAAAAAATGGTTGCACACGTAAATCGGGCGATACTTTCTGTGGGTACTGTACATTTGTCTTTCAAAAAAATATAAGCACGACCCCGATTTAAAGCTCAAAATATGCCTCAAAAACTCGTGCTTATTTCGGGGGCAAATACGGTAATATTATTAAAATTGGGATCATGAATACGTACATTTTGTGTTAAAATCATTACATAATTCAGGGCAAATCAAATCAGAACTTATAAATGAATCATATTTAAGTTTTCTAAGAATTACTCTAATACGTCTTAGCTTACAGTATTATGATAACTAGGACCGCGTAATTACAACAAATTTTTCAGCACAATCCGTCACGAATTACAGAAAATTTCTCAGCATATCTTTCAAAACAATTATTCTTTTTGTATTGAACTCTTCCATTTAAAGTAATAATGACGCGCACATATTATCATTAATCCCATGCTTCACTTTGTTTTTCAAATCGGGGTTCTCACTCCCATGAATCTCATCATTTGAGTCGTGATGCTGGAATTTTCATAATTCTGGCAAAATCACATCCATCCCGTGATTTCTCCATTTTGAGGTTCGACGAGACCATAAAAACCTTTATGCATATGCATTTAAGATGATGCAATAAGCTAATAAGTCTCAAGCATGGGAACAGTTTAGTAATATGAATTCAGAGGAGTGTAACTGTATATAGTTGGTCTGTCAGTCAACGGCACACATATATAGCCGATCCGCCTTTGCACTTTTTATCCATGCGCAGATCGTTTTCTTTTCTGAACTGCGCAACTTTTTCAAAAAACAATTAATATTAATATGTGCAAAATCTGCGCAAATAATTCTTACGCACGCGCACATGTCCCTAAAAAATAGTTACGCAAACGTCTGCGCAGCGCAGAATGCGCAGGTCATTTTAAACACTGATTCCGACGTAAAATTCAACGTCATTTTTGCAACAAAGCGATAGAGTAGTTTTACCGCGACCCGAAATGCACCTCACGCATGGATTTTTTAGGTCTTAAAAATTGTTTCAACTGCACATAAGGTTAACATGTTTTTTGGCTCCCTCAATTCTTTTCATTTGTGTTCAGTCGCGTTGTAAGTGTAAATGAATTCTTATGATCATACTTTTAAACTGTATATTTACATCTTTTCTAATTTATTAACCAAATTGGTAGCTGCGGTAATTTTCTTGGACACCTGCGCCACCTTTTGGACCACATTTTCATTTTTCGCTGTTACATTACATCAGATATCCTTTTGTGCCATTGTTTATGTTTTTACTTTATAAAACATTGCAATAATTACAAAAAAATCAGATGTTATTTTGCATAATAACCACTATTATGAATCATTGTTATCGATGCTTAGAAAATACTTATGTATGTTTTATTATGAGATCATATTTTAAAAAAGAAGCCGGTCCTAAAATCCGCTAGCCAAAAACAATTTGAATTTGAATTTGTAAATAAATGAATTATACAGTATTATATTAAAAGGTTGAAGTGGAAAATCTAAAGTTTTTCAATTTAATAAATACATTGTTGAAATTATCTGTACTGTAAGCTACAACTGTATGTTACAGTAAATTAAATGCTGCAAATTATTAACATGTAGCGTTAAACAGAAAGATATCTTTATTTAAACATTTTTATCCTTATCTTCTGAAAGAACATTAATATAGAAGCTCAGAAACTTATTACTAATAAAACTAATAAATTCATAGAAGTCGAACTAAAGCTTATTATGGGAAAAAGATTCATTTCTAAATCAAAATATGCTTTTTTTCCCCCAACATAAATACAATTTCTTTTGTGCACGTTTTAAACCGAATTTCAGTAAATTGATTAAGAAATTTTTTGTTTTATTATACGAAATGTCAGAAGCTTATCAAAAATACTTTTCTCGTGTTTCATGTCGAAAATTTCTGAGATTAAATTAACGTAAACCTAGTTCGGCAAAAACTTTTCTCGCAATAAGCCATTTGTATACACGACTAAATAAATACATGTGCATGTATAACTGCTCATGTACAGTCGTGCAACAATCTAGGCAAATCGGGCGTTGGTATTACCATAGATGTATCCTAAGAAATTAAAATCCGAGATTTTTGTAATACACATTCTCCAAAGATTCTATTAGCACGTAATAATGCATACGTCTTTTGAATATTATTTGTATTTAAAAATAACGGAGGATGAAAGTTTACTAATAGAACGTGAGATTCGTTATCGTACGATATGGCATTTCTAAATATAATTATGCATTCGTCTATTTAAATAAAAAAGGATTGTTTATTCGGGTAATCTTCCCCCACTACAGTATAAGCTAACTTTGAATTTATAAACTCCAGGAATTCATCCGATTCGCATTATGCAGAATTCATTTATGGTAACCCATTTTTGAAATCGTTACTTATGTAACAATATTGGGTCTTTTTTCATTTAGGACTTAAACCTTGAACTAGACCTTGGGATATTCTATACGGAAAGGTGAATAACAACAATGGAACAGGTTCTGATAAATTTTTTGGATATTCATTTTTCAATGTGCGTTAAAATAGCACGCGATCTGAATCGTTAATTTTTATCGTTATCTCCGTTGGCTGAAGTTCTATTATTGGCGCTGCAGGCTTTTTAGTAGCCTGTCATACATTATTGGTAATGTGCAGTCAACCATTCATCCACTTCAATGAGAAATCAGGCAGCCATGCTTGAAAGGTAAAAGTACTGCCACAGTGATATATTTCACTTAGAATAAGCAGACATAATAGTAAAAATTCATATTTGAAACTTGATTGACATATCGTCATATCAAGGTTATAATTAGTCATCGTTGATTGTCTTGCGTAACCTTTATGTAAATATATGTAATATGAAATATTTTATGCCTCTGGGGATAACGACGACGTCATAGCAAAAAAATTTCTATAGAATGACATAACGATAAGGTTTCTCTTTTTATGATAAGAAAATTTGAATGCAACGAAAAATATACTTTATAACAATAAACGATCTTTACTCTTGTCTGCTCTGCCTAGTATATGCCACATTCAAGTTTGACATGAAAATTCTTGCAATGTCGCACAAAAAATTTGTGTTCGTACATATGATATATGGTTAAATGAATTTCGTAAATTTGTATTGACACGTTTATAACGAGTAGTTTTCTTGAGATTTTATCACATAAAAAATGGTCGATCTGTTTACACAAACTAATATGCAAGTAATCTTTTTTTACTGTGTCACCGCAGCAAAACATTACGTAAATCAGCATCTATCAAAAAAGCTTTCATTATGCCATATAACCGTTTTAGAGATTGCCATTTTAATGAACATAAAGAATAATTGAAATGGTGTATCATAAATGTAAAAATACATGCCATGTAATACGTGCATGTATAATGTCTATTGTAATGCATAATGCAACACATTTATTAATGAAATTTTCTATACTACGTATTATTATACGCAACAAAATTTCTGGAGTTATCTAGAATTTCCTGTAGTTCCGCTACGTGATTTTCTAAATATCGTATTCTATCTTTACAGGAGGGACATCCACAATCACAAACTTTATCTATATTACTATTTTTTGAATCGCTATAGACGGTTGATGATGAATGCTCTATAGAAGTATGGAAATTTATGTTGTTAAGGAATGAACTTTCATTTATTGGATTGTACTCATATGAAAACGAAGAAGGATATGGCATTAACGTATTCTTCTCTAACGGAAAAGGACTGTGTGTTGCTGCATCTATGGAACGTTCATCGAACCATTGTGTGGAAATGTTGGCTTGCAAATTTTGATCGAAAGATGCACCCTGGTAGAAATCATTTTCCAAAAATTGTTGGACGGTATTGTTTTTGTCTTGGTGCTCGATGCTATTTTCAGAATAAGGATTCGCGCCTAAATGCCAATTTCGTCCCATGCATGTTTGGGTAAAAAGATCTTTAGCTTCTTTCGCAATGCGATAATATTCTCTTCGTATGTGTTCGGGCTCTTTCTTCCAAGACTCTCGGATTAATGCGGAAAGTTGTGGTTGTGTGATTACCGGATGTCTGATCAAGTGAAGTTCTTTGCAGAACGCCATACGATAAGTAATAAAAGCATTAGGCGTTCGTGAGATTTTCCCGTTATGCTTATATTTTGAAATTGCTTTCTGGATAAGTTCACTAGGTGTAATTTTGGGCGGAAAATGTACGATTACATTTGGCATTGCATAACCTTTCTTATTCATTTTTTTTATAAATTTTATCTTTAAACGTTTTGATGACTTAGAAAGAAACGACTTTCTTTTGTACATTTTTCTTTATTTACGCAAAATCGGACTGCGCATGAAGAAATTTATCATGGAAACTTCTATAGAAACGGGGAACATCCTCAAATGATCCAAATAATCTAAATAAAAGTTCAAAGGTTTCACTTTATCCCGATTTTGAAATAATTACTCCGGCAATGTAATCACCAAAATCAGTTAAAGATGGAAAGTCAAATGAAAACTTTTAATCCAAATTAGTAAATAATGAATAACATTTTGTGTGCGTTTTAAATGGATTGTACGCGTAGCATTAGCATAATGCAATACGTATACCTTTTCTGCAATGATGACGTGCGAATCTCTTGATTTCGTTAATTGTAGTTGTAGAGTTCGTAATCACCATTACAAATTGCAAATGACGTTCAAAATAATCCGAACCTAACAAGGATTTACCATGCGACAATGCTATAGCTCCATATTTATAATAAAGTTCGATCCGATAATATTTTCTATCTCTTATATCGTCATATCCTTATGATACCAATTTAGACGGCACATGGTTACTTGTGACACGTAGCACGTGTTTTCTCAAATTATACCGATACAGTCAATTTATACAGTGAAATTATACGAATTTACTGTTCAACTGCTCCTCTATTTATAATAAAAAGTATCCGCCTCAATTGTGAAAACCGTAAATGATCGGGCTCTTTTGTGCCGTAAAAATTGGTTTTACAATGCGACGAAATTAAACCATTATTTCCTTAACGAAAATGATGTATCCGAAAAGCATTGTTTCTATGAAGAATGTGCTAATGGACACCGTTATCTTTACTTTTATGGTAGGTGCAGTGATATTGCGGTTTTCCTTTTTCGTAAAATCTATCAAATAGGAATTTTATTACGTATTATGTATAAATATGTATTAACATTTTAGAAATTAAGAAGAGACTAATTGCCAAGAAATTTGGAATTCCATTGTTTTGAAATTCTAGACTTAAAATTTATAATCTTTATACTTAAAGTTTTTCGGAGGAATCAGCCTTTTCGCAAAAAAGATGGACACATCGGATATTATTTTTTGTATTTTCGATTTGTTGTCATCTTTAGCCTTCAGAACTTTATATGCAAAAGAAACCAGTCTCCTTTAGGAATTCAAAAAATCCTTCCGGTTCAAGAGACTGGATCCCTTTCCATTGGAGCGGTCTAACCGTTAGTTACATCAATCAAGTGCTTTCCAATCAGAAAATGCAATCGCACCGATCAAGAACTTTCCAATCAGAGAATACAAAAGTTCGATATTGATTTATTCTATTATTAGAAATACTTGAATCTAATATGTTCTTAATTTAAATCACGTCTCATACAGGACCATAGGACAGCAGATTTTAGCGATTCAATCTGGCCCTTGTCCAAATTGGATAATATAATCGTATTTGAGATTCCAATTTAAGGCTACCTTCCACCTATTTTTAGACTAAACAGAGTTCTAAAAAGGAAGTTGAAGTTACCAATACAAGCAATCCAAACTAATTGAATCTTCCAAATATATGTCTGAAAAACTGACATGAGGGGCTTGACGATCGAAGATTTTTAACGCGACCATTTTTGGCTAGACTCAACATCACGGTTACATTACATTGTATCTTGCAGTCCTTTTCAAGAACCAAGAAAAACTTTAGTAGGACAAGAAAAGATTAATATGACGAGAAAAAAGTTTAATGGACCAAGAAAAAAAATATTATATGACCAAGAGAAACGCATTGTGCTCTTCATTCCCTTGTGAATCTTCTATTACATAATGCATAATTGTACACTGCATTTAGCTGTAGTCGATTTCTGCTCTAAAACACAATTTCAAGTCCTGACTTTTTTTCGAATTTTCATATGAATCATAAAATAATACATAAGACCATTTTGTTTTACCTGAAAATAGAAACCTTCTATATAAACAGGTGATTCCCATAAAGAAACGCATAATCAGATCATCTACTGACCCCTAAAAAAAAAAAATTTATAACCAGATAATCTAAAATTAGAATAAAACCAAACTTTTCCTAAAGTGACGACGACATGGTGTTATGTCCACGGAAATTTGTTTCTCCAAGGGTAATTGGTTTATACCTTTGAGCGGTCGAATAATCATATATTCCCAGTTTCAAATTGAATTCAAAACATAGAACTTAAAAAAGATATGCAAGGTATAAATTTGTCAGCCAAGAATATGCGACTAAACTTTAAAGTTAAACGAATTCGATTCTCACAGCCTGACTTTGTAAATTAACGTTAACCCAAAAATAGAAAGATCTTTTCCACAAAGAAACTTCAAACAATAAAAAAACATCTCATGTGTTTTCCATATCATCTTTTTTTTACCTCACATGAAACGCCAAATATTCAATTCAGTTTAAATAATGATCCTCTTGAATACGGAAGTATCGCATTATTTCCGCGAGCGCATATATGAGAACAAAATTTTTTTTGATTATTAATTATTAAATCCTGATTTTTAAGTTGCAAATGAAATAAGGCAGTTTAGCTGCGTTTGTAATAATATAAATAAATGCTACATATGCAAATAATCTAAAATAGCAAACGCAACATAACGATAATTTCTGGAAAGCATAATCCGAATAATATAAATGTGAAACTTAAATAGAATGTAATATGCAAGGAAATTCATCTCTTGCTTTACCTCGGCGGCGTAATGTTTAATTTTTTCAATGGCGTATATGTATAAATATAATAATACATAAATAAAATATATAAATATAACATCATAGCATTTAATTTGTAAATTTTTTATAAATAGAGCAGCGTACGGTCACTTCTGGTTTTTTGTACCTCAAATTCATTTGAAACCTATATAAACCATCAAAAAACCTATTAAATTTTTTTAAAAATGAGATCAATCGCACCAAGTAAGAAAGGATACACAATGCCAGAAGTCAAAGTTCGGTTTCCGCCAGAAATTACACCGATGAATCTCATTGAGAAAGCCATTGCAAAATTAAAAACCAGCGGACAAACATCACGAATCCCCAATGCGTTCATTGCCTACCGCATGGCATTTTGCAAGGAACTTCACTTTATTAAACATCCGGTAGTAACACAGCCACAACTATCGGCATTGGTCAAACAATCATGGCTCAAAGAAGAAGAACATGTTCGACGAGAGTATCAACGCATTGCAAAGGAGGCCAAAGACTTGTACATACAAGTTTGTCACGAACAAAGTCCACTTTTTGTCACAAGTGAATATCAAAATACTTTTTCAATTGATGACGAAGATTTTTCTTCCAACACGAAGAATGATTCGGGCGCATTAGAATTTGTGTTTTCGAATTCAAGTAGTTTGAATGACTCCACCAATTTTGAACTTTTTAATGGTAACGAAATATCTTTATTACCATCATCTTCATCCTTTTCAAAGCAATCTGAGATGAAAGACCACATGATTCAACAACAACAACGACGACAACAACAATCATTAGAATTACAAGAAAACGTCTCTGCATCCACTACTCCAAACCTTACAAACATATTCAATACTGATTCCCCGATATTAAAAAATGACAATTACTTTCCCGTAGACTTCAACTTAGACACTCAATTTATTGATAATCTCACACCGGAACTAATAACATCTCGATTATTTTCTTCGATTCTATCTATTCAATCGGATTTCCCTCCTGTAACAAATCTCAATAATAATAATACTAATACTAATGCTACTAACACTAATACCAATAATAGTAATAACGTAGAAGCATCAATAACAAGTAACAATAATGTTACTCCAGCCGAAAATAACATCTGCTGTAAAGAGAAAATAAGCGCATTAGAAAATCGCGTTGTTGAATTAGAGAAAAAACTTGAGGCACTTTCAAAATTTGTTTCAAATAGATTAGATTATAATTTAATAATATAATTTAGAGATATTAGTTTTCCCTATGAATTGAACCAACCACCCCCATCAAGATATTATATTTTGTACGCACTTCTAATTTTACTTTCCTCTCCTATTCTATGTTTTAAAGACCTTTTTGTAAATAGCTCCAATAAAACCCAAAATAAAAATAAAATGATGTTTTAAAATAGATCTCTACATTCTATCTAATCTATAAGAAGTCATTAAGCCTGAGATTATTTTTAGTCAATTTACATTTATAGAATATTGTAGGTAGATATTGTAGACATTGTAGAAGCGTGCATAGATCATATACCTACCTTAACAAACTTAAATGATGCGACGCTTACCGCATTTGAACGAGGCGAGTTCAAAATGTATCTGTATGGTTGATGGTGTAACATAAATATATATATTTATTCAATTTCATTGACTGCGTGTACAATAGAATTGTAAGCATTTATTTGCATTTTTTGAAACTATGATAATGATAGGAATTGTGCGCGTGTATATACATTTAAAAAATATGCTAATACATATAGAGAAAAATGTCGAACATAAAAAAATTGAGGCGCAAACTCAAAATACAGAATTATCCTCTTATTTTCATTCTACCAAAATCATACATTGTCTTCAGTATCTTAAGATACGGATGCATTGCTTGGCCATCCCCCTGAATACGACCAACTTTTGAGTAGAGACGTAGCGGGGAGAGCACGAGATGAATAATGTTCTGATATGGGATACAGTTACTATAACAAGAACATTGGATACCATCGGCAATGATGGTGCCACTATGAGTGAAAACACAAATGTATCCTCTTTTAATGACCTATAAAAAATAAAATGTGAGTACGAATTCTGATGTTTGATGGATTCATAATTTTCTTACATGTTCAATCGAGACGATCTCGGTCGGCACCAATTTATTCTCGATTATGGACAAAAGGTTTGATTTTTCGGGATGAATTCGGTTTGCATATTGGAACGAGCCATCGGCCATTCGAATGTGATGAGTTGGCGTTAAGTTTAATTTTCCTAATTTATTAAGATGGTTAACTTTAGGAAACAATAAAACGAAGTATGACAACCAATTACCTTTATTTACTCCATTAGAGAAGGCAATCTGCAAGAATTCAGTTGGCTCATCAGCGTTGTAATGAGCAATCATATAAACTTCCGAATATTCAAGTCGTCCATCTTTTGTATGGCTTAGAATACGTTCCCCAACTTTCACTTCATTCAAACTCAGACTTTTTCCATTTTCCAGTGTAACCATAGTATCCAAACTAAAGCACCCATTACTCTTTGCTAACTGAGCAGCTCTTGTGATACCAGTCTCATCCATCTCGGCTCGAATTTTCGCCATACGTTCTTGGAAACGTTCTTTCGCTAAGTCATCACCATCAACCAGACGTTCCTGATCATAAGCCTGGAACGATGCTTCAATTTCACCCTGGAGTTGCAACAACCTTTGCTGCTGCGCATCTTTTACTGACTGAAATATCGACTTAGTGTAAATGTCATTAATCGAGTTGATATGTTTTTTCAATTTCGTCAAATTCTCGACCGTTTCTGGACTATCTGCGTCAAAGTAATCGGGATTCGGAACGATAATCCAGCGATCGTGAACTCGTTCAAGAAGCTCCTTTTGTTTTTTGGAAAGACCATCGAGCAATACTTGTGGATCCTGGATTTGCTTTTTTGAACATTTGGTGAATACGACAATGATGTGATCCAGACTTTGATATCCTAGAAAGTTGATTGCTGACTCGACCACGATTTGGTGAGATTGAGTGTATCTTCCCGCAGCTAATTTTTTGAATGCTGATAAATACTCGAAATTCATATTATGATTCTAATATTAAGAAGTTGACACTTACCCATCACCAAGAGTACGGCTTTGACGCCATAAGCGCATTTGTTGATCACAGCTCCAAGTTTTTTCCACGTTTTGGAATCTGGCATAGCTGAATCAATAAATCCAGGCGTATCAAGAAGAATATACTGAGAATCATCAATCGTCACTGGAGCGAACTCACAATACTGAGTAACGGAATCCTATATATAAAAGGATTAAGAATTAATTCAAATAAAGACAAAAAGAAAAAACACGCCAATCACTTACACCAGAATCCGAAGTCCGAAATTTTTCATTTTCTGGACCTAAACCAAGTACCATATTGCCCAGCGTACTTTTACCAACACCTAAAAAATAATTCAATTAACTCTTTTTATCATAGCTGATTTTCCTCCAAAGAAAAAATGAACCTGTTTCTCCAATGATGACAATGGTGGGAAGTTGAAATTCTGGGAGAAGATAATTGTTTGCGATCTCACGGGCACTTTGAAGCATCAAGTTGATTTGATTTGCTCCTTGCACGACTCCTTGCACGACAGGAGAATTATGATTAATCTGAACCTGTAAAATTTAAATCGTTATTATATCGTCGTCATTTAATATTATACAAAAATAAAGTTATTACCATCTTTGAAGATCTAGCGGTTTGATATATTTGTTGCGTTGCGAAAAAAAATAAATACTGTATGATATGATGAACACAATAACTTTATATAACAAATAGGCAAGCTATGAGAAAGAACGTCAAGCCATCAACAAATACTTGTGCATATAATACGTAACGGAATTAGAGTTTTCTACGCAAAATGAACTGCGTATAAGTTGCTTATTTTAATAAACAAAACTGCACAACGCCTATCTAATCGTTATACAGTCAAGTGTGAGAACCTTTTTATAAGTGGATTGATCTGAGATCATGATGTTTTGTGAACAAAGAAACCTTTTTACTTCTCGTTTAAGTTGAATATATTTTTTCATCTGAATCAAAAGATTGTTATCACAAATCAGCGATGTATTACTGTCAAAAGTGATTTATCATTCAGTATTTTGTAAATGTTGTCTGAATAATTTTTCTATGATCATGAGGGAGTGAAAGTTGCGGAATATAATCTGTCGTTTGAGAAATTACTCTATTAATCTTACTCAAAATTCCTTAAGAACGATGTAATCGTTAGGGTTTCAACCTATGATTTTATTCAATTAACAAACGCTTTCGGACGATCATCAATGTGCACTATCTCCGACAAAATAATGCCTATTTTAGAATTCACGTGATGAGAAACCAATAAGAATGTTACCCTCCTTTCCTTTTATCTCTCAATAGCGTTAGTAAATTTTTCGACTACGAGTGATTTTAGGTTTAGAATTTAGAGTATTTGAGCATCAAGTTAAATTTAGGCATTTATTTTTCGATTTGTTTTATCAATTGATCAAACCGCCACATCACCATAT